GATCGCAGAAAGATCTTTCGAGGTACATACATACATACCTACCCACTCCTACCCCTATGACCTAGAACTAGTTCTTTCCAGTGTTTCTAGCTCCGCTCAGCTCGGCACTCACTGACCCTTCTTCTGCAACAAATACAAAAGAAAGGAACAAACAGATATACGGCCGCGAGGGCACCCCTTCCAGCAACATGCTGTCCGACATATTCTCCCGGCTCTGGTTCTCTCGGATGTGGACCGTCCAGGAACTCGTCTTGGGACACCGCGCTCTGATCGTGTGCGGAAATCAAGAGTTGCCCTGGGCGGACTTCGTGTCGACCATGGTTCTGCTGGCCCGAATCGAACAGTCCGCAAGCAGCACAGCCGTAATCACCAACGACGCCGTCTTCTTCCCCAAGCTGCAGATATACCAACAACTGCGCGGCCACGTCCACCCGGCCCTGAACGCGGGCATGGTATCGGCGAGGCAGCAGGATGCACGTAAAATGTCGGCAATCCTCACCATGCTGCATCCCCTGAGCTCGTGGGACCCGCGGGACAAGCTCTACGCGCTCCACGCGTGCTTCGGCGCGCTGGGAATCAGAGACCTCCCGCCTGTCGACTACAACCTGCCTGTGGCCCAGGTCTACGGCGCCTACGCGAGAGCCACCATGGTCCGCGAGCAATCGCTCGACCTGCTATACGCACTCGACCACAAGCGGTCCGTTCAGGGCCTAGCGTCCTGGTCGCCAGACTGGAGCAGCTACGGTTCTGTCTGGAAGATATGCCGCGAGCGGTTCGCTGCGACCGGAGACTCGAAAGCGAGCTTCATGTTCGCCGGCCCCGAGGACGGCGAACTGCACCTTGCGGGCGTCGTCATCGCCACGATCAAGCATAGACCGTCCTTGAACCTGCCCCCGCGAGGACGTGACAGTGGTAGTGGTATCAACGATGACCACCGGCAGCAGCAGCAGGACCTAGAACTGTTGCTTGCCAACATGACCCAGCAGGTCCAGACGTGGCAGGAATGGGCCCGCCTAGCATCATCCCAATCCTCTAATACTAGTTCTACTGCTAACAGCAGCGGATATTACCAGCCCACAAACCAGACCTGGCCCGACGCGTTCCTCCGAACCATGTTGCAAGACGGCGTGACGGGACCGCTGCCCCACCAAGTCCTTCCGGCCGAGGTGCTCGACGAGTTCTGGAACTGGATCGGGATCTTGTTCGCCTACGCTCAGCCAGACGACGACCCGAACAAGAAGGAGATTGTGGACATGGTTGACGAGGCGGTCAAGTTTGCGCTCGCGCGGCCTGCCGTGCGGCTGGTGTATTTTCCCGAGGGGGGTGTCGGGGTCGAGCAGCAGCAGCAGTCGGCGGTGGTGGTCAACACGCCGGCGTGGCGGATCATGATGGCGATCAACTACGGCGGCGCCAGGGCGATCAATGCCCAGATCTTTGAGAAGACCGCCGGGAGAACGTTCTTCGTCACAGAGGCTGGGTATATGGGTACGGGATCGGAGCTGATCCGGGCGGGTGATCTTGTTGTGCTTGTCGCGGGAATGACGGTGCCCATGATTATGAGGAGCGAGAGTCATGACGGTGGTGGTGGTACTGGGTCTAATAGTTATTATAGTCTTGTGTGTCCCGCGTATGTTCATGGGGTTATGAATGGGGAGAAATGGCCGGCGAATGGCGAGGGACTGATCAACTTGACTATTAAATAGAGTCGCCTTTTGATTGCTAGTAGTCTAGACTAGTAGGACAGTTACGCAGGTGGCAGGTTGGACTTGCGAAGGGGTTCGGGAGGACCATGGAAATTGAGACCAGCTTGGAAGCCATCTCGGCTTATCATGGATTAAAAAGTAATTATATGCCAAGAAAACTTGGAATCTGTATGTGCGTGGTGTTGAACTATATATTGCCATCTCATTTACTTCGTCTTTCTCTCGTTACTCGCTCCTTTACCTCCCATCCAGGTTGGCTATCGTCCAGAAATGCGCTTCTCCACCATCCTAAACGGCACATACAACACGGCCGTCACCACAAAAGCCAACTCAAATCCGATATCTCCCGTCGTCTCCGCGATCGGCCCTGTCCACCAAACCTGCGCCATGGAGGGAATCACAAGTCCAAACGAACACACGGCAGCCGCGAGCGCCGCCACGCCAGGCGGTAAAAGGGAAGCATCATCCCACACAGCAATATCATACGACGCGCAATCTCCCCTGCGAAACCAAAAGTGCTCAACGAGAACCACACCCAAGAAGGCAGCAGACCAGTACCCGATCATGGCGATAAAGTACTCCAAGCTGAGGAAAAAGTCGGCGGCCGCGCGAATGCCGACGGGGATCACCACGATGGTCGTCAGGATCGAGAATGCGTAGCGCGGCACCTTCTTGAAGACCGGGGCGAGGATCTGGAAGTTCAGTGTCACAGAGTAGGACGTTGCGGCGATGTTGCCCAGCAGCGTGAAGGAGAGGACCACGGTGATGAATTTGCCGAAACCGCCGGCCGGGGACAACATGGCATCCATCACGCCGCCTACTAAGTAAGCGTTGTAGCCTTCTTCCCATGCGGGCACGGAAGGTGTGGCGCCGCCGATGGCTGCGCCCAGGACCATCAGCAGGATTGTCGGGAGAGCGAGGCCGAGATAGGTGTAGGCGAAGATCAGTGTACTATTAACTAGGTTAGTTCAGACATTCCACGAGTGAGAGACATTGGGTAACGTACGACGAAGTCTTGGGCTCAAGGTAAGTCGTAAAATCCGACGCCAAGCACGCCCAGGGGATCATGTACGACGCGACAATCATGCCAAACGAGAGCACAGACGGAGCAGTGGCGGGCGCGGCCAGCGGCGCCTGGTCCTTGAGGTACTTGCCGCCGCAACCGACAGCAATCACGATGGACACAAGCGCGGGGATCCATGCCCACCGCTCGTAGATGTGCAGGACACTAAACCCACAGAAAGAGATGAGAAGGGCGAGCAGCGACACGATCACGATGCCGACTGCCGGGGAGACGGAACCGCCGCCGACGGCGGACAGGCACTGGCCACCGATCACGGCCATGATGGTGCAGAAGCCGACGAGGGTGGCGAGGTTCAGTATCACGGGAACCGAGACCAGATATCGGCTGTTCATATAAGCCCATCAGTATTAGCTCCCAGAGAAGTGAAGGTAAGAACACATACCCAAAACTAAATCTTGCCTGAATCATCTGCCTCATACCGGTCTTGGGCCCAAGCGTAGAGAGGTAAGCGGGCAAACAGGTCGTCAGGAGAGTAAAGAACAGAATGACGAGGGCCGAGTCCCGCAACCCGAGCCCGTACACCGGACCCAACATGCCGAAGGTGATGGGCAGCACGTTGGTGTTCATGCACGCCCAGAGCGTGAACACGTTGACCGTTTGAGTTACGGTCCGCTCGTGCACCGGGATCGGCGAGATGCCCCGGACCTCGACACGGCCGAACTTGACGATTGTGTCGACGACGCCGCGCCAGCCGCCGGCACTTCGTGTCGGTGTTGGGGGCGGCTGGCCGGTGACGGAACTGTCGCTGTCTGTGATGACTCCATTGTGATTCTTTTCGGTCGCGACGTCAACGTTGGCGACCTTTTCGGTTGCGCCCATCGTGCTCACCGAGTTAGGACTTGTCGTTGTTTGATATGGTGAGGGTGTTGAGTTTTAGGTGTCGGTTGTCGTAAATGTAGTTGTGAGTCAACGGAAAACCCCGCGGATATGAAAAAATCGGCTACTTGGATTGTTGGTGGTGGCGAATTGTGGCTGCAGAAACAGAAAGGGAAAAAAATGACACCAAAGGGATCGTCGATTTACTTAGGTATGCACCTTCTTCAACTCGGAAGTGAACCGACACGCCGACGATACAACACACGCGTTGTGAGATTGATGCCAATTCAGTTAATTGAATCTCAATCTTGGGCTGCCAATGTGAGAAGCATGAGATTTGACTTTGATGGGGTCCACCGGTACCTTACTACTGAGGGTCGTTATCGCCATGATCCCTGATGGTGGGTGGGCCTATTTTAGCGCACCTTACCAGACCATTGGGACGAGCTTCATTCTTTCCCATTTGGGGTATGGGGGTACAGACTACAGGACTCTATTGTAGTAATCTGATAGAGAGATAAGTACCTTATCCCGTCAGTCGGGTCATCAAGTAGCCCGTATGTGAATGGACAATAGGACATGTGGTTAGTGGATGAGGAGCTTCGGCAGGAGCCCTGAGCTTGGGTGTCGACTTCCAAATGACAGGGATAATGTGCCTAATCGAGATATACAGAGATATTGAGATAAAGAATTTGCCAAAATGTGCCTTTATCTTGTCGTTGCTGGACTAGCATTCTCTTGCCCGTCAGCAGATTTTAGCAATGCCGGATAGGGCCAACTGCACCCGGTGTCGTGCTAGTTCTCTTCTGGCCAAGTCCGGACTCCTCCGAAAGTATCCACATCCGATGCCCGGAGACCCGTGTGGCTGGCAGGCCGACTTCGGCCCGGAGCTGGACAGAACCGGGCGTGAGTGAAGGTCGCCGACCACTGCAAGTCGCAATGTAGTAGAGATTCAAGATTGAGTTTGGTCTGGGTAGTTCAGACACCCTCGCTAAAGTTATCCCAAGATGGCCGACAATGACAACAAGGCCGAGAAGAAAGACCCAAACACTACTACGACCACGCCGGGGAATATTATCACGGATCAAGAACCCCCTGAGGGACTTGTTTCAGTGAAAGAGGACGACCATGATGCGAATACTCTTCAAGAGACTCCCTACAGAATATTTACACGCCGAGAAAAATGGTTCATCGTCACCATGGTGGCTGTGGCCAGCTTTTACAGGTCCGTCTCAGTATCAATCATATCGTGGGAGAATTTTGTTTACTCATAACCGTCTCGTTGCACTTCTATAGCCCGCGGCCGGCTCCATAACGCCATGTAGGGCCCCATATTAACTTGACCCCTTTATCAGGAAGGTTTTTGAGCATCAACATCAACCATTGGTCAATCCATCGGGTGACTAGTCTAGTGGTCAGGACGGTTCGTTGTGGTTTCTCTCCCACTTTCCGAACAAACCCCGGTTCGATTCCGGGGTCGCCCATTCTTTTGCACATTTCTGTGCTCTACTTTTTGTCTACTTCGTCTATACTTGTCCATTTGCATGCGTCGGAAAGGGATGCTGTCCTCCTTTCAGGGGTAATAAGTAAGAAAATAAACAAAGCATACCGTGCGAACCTGCCCGGTCTTGTTTGCGAAGCTAAAGGCAAACAAGGTGCGAATAAAGCACATGAATTATTGACCTCATTTTCTTGCTTTCTTGATTCCTATTGGACCAGCTTGCAGTTCTATCTATGTAAGGTAGGTAGTCAACGAGATATATCCAACTTATTGCAGAGCTCCGTTCACCTCCTCGTCCGCATGCCCATTCATCTTCACCCCATTAACCAGAGGCAACTCTCCATCCTTATCCCTCTCCCTCCTCCTCAGAGTCGGCGACCTATTCCTCTCCACAACCTCATCAATCTCATCCAAATGCTCCAATAAATGCGCCGCTTGCAATCCATCATCCCCATACTCTCACTGATCCACGACCGAAAGATGCAAACTCTTCGCCCCTTCTCCCCTCACAGCCCACTCCGTCAACATCATCGGAACATTAACATGAAACATGAAAGCCACGGTACCCTCACACACTCTCTCAGGCTTGCTTCAGTTCTCGTGTAGTCGCCTCCTTCCAAGTCTCATACGTCTCGCCATGCGGCATGTAACTCGCCTCGTAACTCAGCCCGCCCGGCTCAAGCACGTGGCTACTCCCGCCATATTTACCATACAACAAACCCATCATCTCGGTCGACATGTTGCGATAATAATACGGCGGCCTAAAAGTATTGCTCGTAGGAATCCATTCTCTGTAAAACCCAGAGAGTCCGTCAACGAGACCCCCGGAACTTTAGATCTGGCAGTGAGAACGCAGTAAACGGTCGGATCAGCTTGATCATGGGAAACATTTGCCACATTGACAAATTTTTCGATGGCGTATTGGTAGGGGACCAAGTTCCCGCGCCAGGCGACCACGTCGAAGGGGGTATGGTTCTGATGACAGCTGTGCAGCGACCCAGCCATCTCGTAGGCGGTTTCCCACGCCGAATTGTCGATACCGAAGCTCGCGACGGGATACTCAAAATCGTGCGGCAGCGCCATCGCGTTTGAACCGAGCGGTCCTAGTTCGGGGAGTTCGCAGTGCGCGCCAAAGATCTCTTGGGTGTAGGCGCGGGACGGACCGTCAGGCAGCAGAACGCGGAACCGGATGCCGGCTTGGATGACGGCTTGGATGACGGCTTGGATGACGGCTTGGATGACGGCTTGGATGACGGCTAGTTCGCCGGGGTGCACCATCATCCAACCCAGCTCGGTCTGGATGTTCAGACGTCCGGTTTGGGGCAGGATGAAGAAATCGCCGTCGTTGTTGCAGAATGCGCGGTGATTCATGCTTGTGTTGGCTGAGTTAGATGTGTATCGCGAGACCTTCTTCCAGGGAGGGGTCGCCTTGGCCTGCTACAGTGCGGATGCCTGGGACGAAATCGACATTTTGAGATGCGTCAGATGGAGTGGGAAGGGGTCCCATTCTTGCTGGGCAGCGACGAACTCGACTCGTTTGTTAAGTGGTGAGAAACATGTTTCGATGTGTGGTTGAGTTGAGAGGAGGACGTTATTTCGCCGTGGGCAACTGATGGCCGTATCCGGTACATCCACACGTGCTGCAGTGATGCACGGGAGCTTATGGAGGCTGATTCGTTCAGCTGTTCGGAGTAGAGGTCGTATTTGCATCTCTGCAGCGCGTTCTGGCTGCGTGGTAGCACGCCGGGAATGGCTTCGGACGAAAACCGACTGCCAAATCCGGTTTGGTATCTGTGAGGGTCCGATGGAGTTGGCTCTATCGAGAAGGCCGTCTTGACTGTTGCGCCAACCATGCTGACAGGTTATTGGCGCTTGGAGCTGGGTGTGTTGGGGCTGATGTAGTACAGACTGATCAGAGACAACGATATAGAGCAAGTGAGTCATTAACAAAGGCTTGAGTATCTAGCGTTTTTCATACCAACTTATTTGACCCGGTGATTTGTGCGTCCATGACTGACATCGACGGGGTTGGGGATTGTAATTGTTGACACCCTTGCACGTGTGTCTGCCGATGAGGCAACGGGGGTGGCACCAAACAGCCCGATGTGTTTGCCGGACTTCTGGTCACCGGCAAGTGGATGCATCGAGGTTTGCCGGAGGATGCTTGTCACTCAAGCGGTACATAGGTACCTGGATTGCCGGGAATTGATGTGTTAGCTAGATCCAAGTTAGTGACGTGTGGTGGACCATGGTGGAGTCTGGAATGCGTCGATATCGTGGGATCGCATTCGCCGAATCGCCGGTAAACAGGGACTTGATAGGATCAACACTGAAGGTGAAAATGATATGGGAGGTATCGCATCATAAGAGTGTGAATCATCAAGACCTTTCCTGTGTAGTGCATGATACACGTTATTCACCGGCCTCCTAAGACATTCACTCCCGTTGTCGTCCGTATTTAGGGAAAAACTTCGCTGCTCTCTCCCTTGTCTTCCCTTTTAACACGATCCGGGGTAATGCAAGCACAAGACATGTCATTTGTATCTCCATCCAACTCCCAGATTTGACGACGGCACTGCATATTAGTCCTTGCCATATCTCTCGAGTGGCCTCACCCAACTTGGCACCGCAGTCTCGGGACCGCATTCCAGTCCGCGATGGCACTCCTCCAACTCCTTGTCAAATTTCACAGCACCACAGGCCTGATAGCAGCAGTCCTCCTGGTCAGCTGCATCGGAATCGTCTTGCACAACCACTCAAGAAAGAAATCAGCGAGAAACCCCCATCGACTACCCCTACCGCCAGGGCCCCAGGCGAGCCGATCCTAGGCCACCTGCGCGTCATACCCTCCGACAACGCCGAATACGCCTACGACAGGTGGTCAAAGGAGTGCAACTCAGACATCCTCTACTTCAACGTTCTCGGCCAGGATGTGGTGGTCCTCAACAGCGTCCAGGCGGCCGTCGACCAAGTGACGGGCGGCACACGCCTCCTCACATTTCAGGACCGCCAGAACCCCAAGCTGGTGTACATCGACTACATAGTGCAGGAGACGCTGCGTTGGTGTCCGGTCCCGCCGGTCGGCGTGCCGCTCCCGTTCTCTCGAAGACGATGTCTACGACGGCATGTTCATCCCCAAGGGCTCATGCGTTTATGCAAATGCGCGCGCCATGACACATGACGAGCGTATCTACTCCAACCCGGACAGGTTCGACCCGGACCGGGTACATTCCGATGGAAGAAAGCGGCAGGGGGGAATCGTTTCCCCGAGGCCAGTTTGGTTTCGGGAGGAGGATCTGTGTTGGGCAGCATCTCGCGGAGGCGACTGTTTGGATTGTGGTCGCGAGCATGCTGGCCACGCTGGATATTGGCAAGGCGGTTGGTGCTGACGGAAAAGAGATCACGCCTGAGGCTGTGCTCACGAACGCACTGACCAGTCATCCTAAGACGTTTTCTTGTCGTGTGAGGGTGAGGAACTTTGCCAGTGAATATCTTGTGGACAATACGGTCAGACAGATGAGCCTGGACCCCTATATGCCCAGATTACAAACATACCTGCCTACCTATCTTCTATGCAGAGATGTGAGCTCAATAACGATCCATAATCAACGCCGTCTTCAACGAATCACCCTCCAGGAACCATCCCTTCCCCTTCATGACCTCCATGAGCGCCTTGTGCTTCCGGTCCGCATCATCCGCCCTCTCGACCTTGAACGACGCCTCGGCGATATACTCTATCCCAGCCCCATCCGCCGTCTTGATAGGCCAAACCTCAATATCGAGATCATCCCCGTCCCATGTCCCGGTCCATCGCTTAGCCAGCACAGGTCCAAATATCCTGGACCTAGCTAACGCATCGGCACCCCACCCGTCGACGCCACCCCAGTTCGTGAACTTGCCTGGCGCTTTATCGATCGCCATCTTCGTTGCCGTTTCCAAGTCCGGAAGCTCAATCCCGTCGAAACCGGTAGCCTTCTCCTTCTTGCTGCGGCTGATGGAAAGAGTAAGTTTTTGGTATCCCCATTCTACCTGGGCTTCGTAATCTGACTCAGAAGCGTCGAAGCCGGCGTCCCGGGCGAGAAGCAAGGTCGCATCGAAGTCATGAGATCCGTCGGGGATGGGGTAGCGCTTCTTGTAGGTCAGCTGGAAATTCTTGGGCTTGTCGCCGTTGCGGCGGATTCGCGGGGACCAGCCGGCTGCGTAGATTTCTTTTGAGGGAGTGTCGAGGAAGGCGATGTTCATCAGTGTTGGGGCGGAGCCGTCGGCGATTGAGAAGTTGGACAGGATGGCTGGAACGATGTCGTGCGTAACGGGGTCGAGGACGGTGGATGGGTTGAGGAGGAGTTTGACTTCGAAGTCGGGGGTCATTGTGGATTCTACCAGATGACAGAAAAGGGGTTAGTGCTAGAGGGGATATGGTGAGAATGAAGGCGGGGGCTGTACTTGTTGAAGCCATTGCTGCTTATCCAGTCAGACTCGGACTGTCAAAGTGTTGATTCTGAATCAGTTACTGTCGGACTGTATTGTTGTTGCTGAGAATATCGTGAGTAGTTGAGAAGCCGCTGGTCGTCAGGAAAAGGAAATCGTCCACGCGACATCGACCCCTCTTTATGTCATGCCATGTCGACTGAGCAGATAGTGATAGTGATGGATGCCCACCTTAGGGTTGAAGATATGGTTACCTCAGACCCGATTTGGCTCAGCTGTTGACCAATTCGTGATCAAGGTCAGCTGCTTGGCGGCAGGTGGCTTGCATGAGTTCAGCTGGTCTGGACCCGGGCTAGCTCCTGATTTGATCATGAATGTCTCATTGCGCGACCTAGAACTCGATAGTAAACCGTAACTGCATTGATAACGACAGCTGATGAGGAGCTGCATGTCATAGTGCGTGGTAGCTTTTAGCTGAAGTGCTGGTGTGATGCATTGGTATATGTTCTAGAATTTCTCTGAAGACAAGACATGCCGGCATTTGAGAAAGGCCTT